TAGCCCAAGGCTGCTCCCAGACGGCAGTAAAGGGTTTCAAGACGGTCCACGAGGCCGCCGAGCAGGCCCCCCAAGGGCCGGGAGGCCTCCAGGAAACCCAAAACAGTGCCCAAACTGGTCTCCAAGAGACCCCGAACCCCCCCGCAAGAGGCTCAAAATTGTGCTCCGAGAGACTTCCAAAGAGGCACACGATACGTCCATGAGGCCTCTGGCCCACAACCCAGGCGTATTCCCATGATCGGCCCCAAACCACCGTCAAGGCTGCTCCAGAGATCCCCGGATCGCCCCCAAGACGGTTTCGAGGAGTCTCCGAAGGCCCCCCAAAATCCAGTAATTTTGGGTTTGGGTTAGATGCTCATTCATTCAGGACTCAGGACAGAGAATTCATGCGCGAACCAAGCATGTCCATCTCTCGTTCAAGTCCCGTGTGGAATAAATAATGCTGGGGTATTTAATTGCGTGGTACTGCAGCTCAGGGTAGCAGCGCCTTTCACGCAGCAAGGTCCAGCGAGCTGCAGCCCAAGGCAGCAGCTCATGTACAGTGCTGGCCGCTGCATACCCGGCACCTTCTGCTGAGAGAGCAAGCGAGAGAAGATTCCTGCGGCAGAGCTATCATTGAGAAACAACATGGCGGGCGGACGGACGACGGACGTCGGACGACGGACGAAGACGACGGGACCGCCCATGGGGGAGAGGACCTGGGGTGGCCCATTTTTCCCAAACTCTCCCCGTCGCAACCCAATTGTCTCCTCCTTGGCTCCAGGATCCGCTTTGGGGTCTGTGGGTGAGCCTTTCGGCCTGAAGAGGGTTCCGAGCTGGTTCAGGAGGACGCCCGCTGGCCGCCAAGATGGCCCCTTAGTGGTCCAAGACGCTCCAAGATGTTTCAAGGCGGCCCCCAGGGGCCACAAGATGCCCCAGCGGAGCTCCCAAAAGCCTTCCCAAATGACCCTGGATAGCCAGAAACGCAAATACCATGCAGGTTTCTCCATATTCAGTAAATATCACGCTCGTCTCCTTCGGATGGCTTCGGGAGATCTTCACATGGCGCCGAGGCTCGAGACGGCCCCACAACTCCGAAGAAGAGCCCAAGAGGGCCCCAAGCGGGCCCAGAGGCTTTCAAGGCAGCCCAAGCAGGAAGATCCACAAGAGATCCGTACACTTCAAGCCAGCCCACTTCATATTCAATATCTCCCTACGCCGGCCCTGATAAGCTCGAAGCCCCCGCATAATCCCAAGCAAGAGGAGGCCATCGATAAGAACGAGAAACGAAAAGCGAGGACAACCTAGAGACTGGAGGGTTAACGAGGAAGGACGTATAAGGAATATTGGAGGACGAGGTAAGGAAAGGCATGGAATGAGCCCGTCCGAAAAGCACGCACAGCTAACAACGCCATGGTACGCGCTAGAACCCAAGCGCTCGCGAAGCCCGCGCGCGGTTCTAGTTGAGGATGGGGGGGAGGTGGAGGGGGTGGTGAGCCATTTCGAGAAACTCCTTCGCAGCCTACAGGCTGGCCGCGAGGGAGTTTCTCGACCATCGCCGCGGGGGGGGGGTCAAGATGTGGTTCGCAAGGTACTCAGGCCCGTTTCGCCTGAGACATCCTCCGAACCCCAGGCTGCTGCGAGATGCCCTGAATTGAGTTGCTTTGGCCCGTTTCGCTTGAGACGTTTCCACTAATCTTGGTCCCAAGAAGTAGTCCGCGATGTGCTCAGGCCCGTTTCGCCTGAGACATCCTTGGAGTCCCTGGCTCCGAGAAGCCCTGACTTGAGGTGACCAGCGTGTTGTCGATGCACGGTCGCTTTGGCCGTCGCCGCGATCTCGAGCCGACAGAGGCCGTCGGGATGTGGATGTTTGGCTCTTGCTTTCGCGCTGCCCTGGGGCCTCGGGCTTACCAGGCGGTCATGCGCTAGTGCGTGAGTTTTTTGTTCGTCTTCTTCCATTGTGCCCAGCCCAGCGCCCAGGTCTTGCCGGGCAGCCGTGCGCCATCTGCACCCGGATGAGATGTGAGATCAAATGTTGTCGCGAGGCAGATCGGACCAACAAAAATCATTCGTATTTTACAGTCTGCATGGTATCCTAAAGCTCTCGGTGTTCTAAACATGAGAACATGGTATATCGTCCTAAATCATACAGTATGTTTGAAACTATGGTCAACAGTTGCCTGTGTATGCGTAGTGTTGTTCAGGTTGTATTTCGTTGTTTTTAAATATGCGTTGATGTCGTCTGTTTTGTGTGAAAATGTAAACTTGTTGTCTAAGTTGTGCGTATGTGTTCTAAAGTTTGCGTTATGTTGTTCTACATTGTGCTTCAGGTGTGCGTTAGTTTTGTTCTAAACGGTTGTGTCGCATTTCAAAGCATACTCTATTGTCTGCAATTGTGCGTTATTTTCGTCACTTACACATTATCAAATTGTGCACTGTTACCCTGAAGTGTGCGATCATGTTCTAAAGTTTGCGCACTGTTGTATTGTTTTCAAGCTGTTGTTTTATGTTGTGGCGGCGTGCTGGTGGCGTGGCGGCTTGCTGCGGCGCTGGCCTGGCGAGGCGGCCAGCCTGGCGCTGTCGTCGCTGCGCGACTGCCCGGCGCCGCAGGCCGGGGCGGACAGCGCCGACCTCGCCCGAGGCCCAGAGCCGACCGAACCCGGTAGCCTGGAGCCATCGGAGCTCCGCGGCCCCGAGCGGCCGCCTGGCTGCGCAGAGGGCGCCTGGCCGTGGGAGGGCAGCTTGGCGCCGACGACGCCCCGCAGCTGCTCGCCTGAGCCGGGCGACCCGGGGCCTGGGCCGACTGAAGTGGGCAGCCTCGCGCGTCCGGGTGGCGCGGAGGGCGGGCCCGCCGGGCCGGCCAGCTTGGCGCCGGAGGCGCTGCGCAGCAGTCTGGGGCAGCCTGCCGGGGAGGGCAGCGCCGGCCGGGTGGCCGCCCTTCGCCTGGTCTATGGACTGGGCCCCTCGCGGGGGTGAGGTCGGCGCCCGGAGAAAAAAGAAAAGTTGTCTTTCTCAAGTTTGTACACCCCTGGTTGCATGGTTGTTCCCGCAAGTTTTAAGTAGCATGCAAACCACTTTCGCAGTACATTCCAGCGCAACGATGGCACTCAATAATTAATTGCATGCCAATTCTCAAGATGTTCTGGACTAGTTTAGCAGCGTCTTGCGTTCTTATCTTGCTTGTGCGCTTCGGTGTAGCCCTGAGGGCTTTATCGGATTCGTGCTGTTTTCCCGTCTATCGCAATGCGTGGGGGTTTCGCTCCCACGTTCGCGGGCGTTTCAATCCAGAGACGCGATTTTGGAGGCTATGCGCGAAGTTACCCGTCTTCCTTCAACATGTACTCGTGGTGAGTACACTGTGTAATGCAGGGGGGGAGGAGGAGGAGGAAGAAGAGGAGGAGGAGGAGAAGGAGGGCGGCGGATGAGGAAGAGGGGGAGGAGGATGATGATGAGGAGGAGGAGGCGGAGGTGGAGGCGGAGGCGGTGGCGGAGGCGGAGGCGGAGGTGGAGGCGGAAGTGGATGATGACGATGATGATGATGCTGCTGCTGATGATGATGATGAAGCTGATGATGATGATGATGATGATGATGATGATGATGATGACGATGACGATGATGACGATGATGACGATGATGATGATGATGATGATGATGATGATGATGATGATGATGATGATGATGGTGCTGATAATGATGATGCTGATGATGATGATGACGATGATAATGATGATGCTGATGATGCTGATGCCGATGGTGGTCATGATGATGCTGATGATGATGCTGATGATGACGACCATGATTATGATGATGATGCTGATGATGATGCTGCTGCTGATGATGGTGATGGTGATGGTGATGATGATGGTGATGGTGATGTGGATGCTGGATATGCTGATGATGATGGTGATGGTGATGGTGATGGTGACGGTGATGATGGTGATGATAATGCTGATGATGATGCTGATGCTGATGGTGATGATGATGATGATGCTGTTGCTGATACTGATGATGCTGATGCTGATGCGGATGCGGATGAGGATGATGACGATGACGATGACGATGATGATGATGATGATGATGATGATGATGATGATGATGATGATGATGATGGTGATGATGGTGATGATGATGTGGATGAGGCGGATGACCAGTGAACACCCAATAGTTATTAACGATGTTGGAATAATCCCTCCCTCCAGGCTCCCTCGCTCCCTCGTTATAGGCCCCTACAACGGTTCATTGCCAGAGGGAACTGCCTCGTTGGAAGACAACCGTTTGAAGACCCTGAAGCATGCCGAAACATTGCTGTCGGGATTTCAACGCCACAGTTCAACCTGACTGTTGCGTCTTGACGATCTTAGACGTGCCAGAGCACCATTCCTGGGACGTCAACTCCGCGAATCAATGTAGCTGTTGTGCCCTCATGATATTGAATCTTTCGAACAACACTTCTGGTACGCTGATCATGGGAATCCGTAAAATTCTTTGCAACTTTTGCAAACGAATGTGCGCGGCGCTCAGGCGAGACCCACATTTTGAAAACGGCCCGCCCTCAATCTGTGAAGCTCTTGCAAATTTTACAAGCGACTGTGCGCGGCGCCACGGCGAGAGTCACATTTTGAAAACGACCCGCCCTCCATCTGTGAAGCTGTTTTCAAGTTTCGGGGTCATACATTGTGAGGAAGTCTCAGGCGAAACGCCTGGACCGCCTAAAAAATTGGCCTCGTGGTGCGACAGGGAGAAGTTATTTATAAGGAAAAGGAACGGAGGAGAAGGAGGAAAAGGAGGAGGAGGAGGAGGAGCAGGAGCAGGAGCAGGAGGAGGAGGAGGAGGAGGAGGAGGAGGAGGAGGAGGGAGGAGGAGGAGGAGGAGGAGGAGGAGGAGGAGGAGGAGGAGGAGGAGGAGGAGGAGGAGGAGGAGGAGGAGGAGGAGGAGGGAGGAAAGGGAGGAGGAGGAGGGCGGGGAGCAAAGAAAGAGGCCGGAGCAGGCGGAGCTCCGCAGCCTGGGCGGCCCGAGGCCCCGCGCGCCGCGCCGTGCGATGCTGAGCCGCGCTGGCGCGGCGCTGCCAGCCGGGGCGGCGTCCAGGCGGCGGGCCCGGGGTCTCGCGGCCGTGCAGCTGCGCCGCGGGCCGCCGCTCGGCAGGAGGCCCGCGGGGGCGGGCGGCTCCTCGACCCTCCCGGGCGCTGCCCGCTCTGCTCCAGCTTCTGACGTTGGGCGAACTTGCGCTGCTAGGCTGAAGCGTCCTCCTGCTCCTCCTCCTCCTCCTCCTCCTCCTCCTCCTCCTCCTCCTCCTCCGCCCTCCTTCTCCTCCTCTTCACCCTCCTCCTCCTCCTCCGAAGCCTGCTCCTCCTTCTCCGAAGTCTCCTCCTCCTCCTCCTCCTGCTCCTCCTCCTCCTCCTCCTTCTCCACCGTTTCTTCCTCCTTCTCCACCGTTTCCTCCTCCTCCGTTTCCTCCTCCTCCTTCTTCTCATCCTCCTCCTTCTCCTCCTCCCCTCCTCCTCCTCCTCCTCCTCCGCCTCCTCCTCCTCCTCCTCCTCCTCCTCCTCCTCCTCCTCCTCCTCCTCCTCCTTCCTCCTCCTCCCTCCTCCTGCTCCTCCTCCGCCTTCTCCTCCTTCCTCCTCCTCGTTCCTCCTCCCCTTCCTCCTCTCCTCCTCCTCCTCCTCCTCCTCTCCTCCTCCTCCTCCTCCTTCCTCCTCCTCCTCCTCCTCCTCCTCCTCCTCCTCCTCCTCCTCCCTCTCCTCCTCCTCCTCTTCCACCTTCTCCACCACCACCGCCACCTTCGTGGCCCCCCGCAGGTTCGAAAAGTGCGGCTGGCTGGTCTCACGAGTGGCGAACGTATCCGTATCCGCGCCCTCGCGGTCTGGATCCTGGCCTTGGTCCTGGCGTCCCAATTCTTTCGAGCCAGGCGTTCTCGCCCAGTTTCGGGCCCCAGAGCCCTCGCAGATCGATCTGGCTCGAGGAATGGAGCAGAAAGATGTGGTGCGGGGCTCCGGTCGTGACTTTTACGATGCTCGGGTCTCGTGGGGGCGGGATTCCGTGGATGCGCCATCGTATGGATACGTTCTGCGCGGGGCATCCGCGAACAAGAAGCCTCGTATCCACGGGGTCGCGGCCCAGGGGCCAGGCCTGCGAGGCCGTGGATACGGATCTGGTGCCCAATCTTCTACTAGGAGGCGGTCAGGCCGACCCTTTGGCAGGCGGGCCGCTTCCGTGGCGTCCCCCTCGCCTCTCCTCCGAAGCGTGGGCAGGTGGCCGGAGGGGAGCTTCGAGTCGTCACAAAAGGAACTCGACACGGAAGGGGTCGGGTAGGCGTCGCCTGGCCGATTTTCGAGGATCGAAGTTCGACGTGTTCGAGGCTGTCGTTGTGAGAGTCAGAGCCAGCGTCAGCGTCGTTGTCGTCGCCGCCGCCGCCGCCGAAGTCGCCGCCGCCGCCGCCGCCGCCGCCGCCGCCGCCGTCGTCGTCGTCGTCGTCGTCGTCGTCGTCGTCGTCGTCGTCGTCGTCGTCGTCGTCGTCGTCGTCGTCGTCGTCGCTGCTGTCGAGTTTGAAGATCGCTCGTGCACTCGCGCCCTCGGAGCCAAGGGGCAACGTGAGGGGGGCGGACGGGCTCTGGGGTGGCGCATCGACCCCCGTTTGCCCACTGGCCGCCGACGTGGGCCTGATGGCTCACCCCCCTCCCAGGAACGTTCGGCTTCGCTACAGGTGTCGGAAACAATTGAGCAGCACTCGTGCGGAAAATATGCTTTGAACCTCCCCCCCCTCCCCCAGATGCAATGTTGGTTTCGGATCTTCCGATTTTTGGCCTCCGAGCGGTCCTGCGAAAACCTGTCAACTTTGAACTGCGGGGGAGGGGGGAAGTTCTGCTTAATTGTTTCCCTCGACCGTATCTCGGGGGCCCCGTCGCCGCTCTATCGGCGATGCACTGCCGATTCCAGGCTGCTGCTTTTTTCTTACCCCCCTGAGCCAGCCCCCCCCGAAAGTTCAGTCGGGCATGTCCCTCTACAGGAGGAATATTCAAACACTGCAAACAAAATGCTCCATGGATGATTTTCCAACAATTCTTGATGATTCTTGATTCTGTTTCGAATATGTTTCGTTTTCTTTTCACAGACCGCCTGTAGGAGGACATGCCCGACCTAACCCTACCGTTTCCCCTCACACACTGGATTCCCGGTGCGGCAGGTTCGGGTGGTGCCGGAGCGGCAGCGACCCCGCTCTGGGCGTTCACGGTGGAACGCCGCCGGGTGGAGGCAGCTCGGTCGTCCACCTTTCATCGCCCAGAGTATCCCGCAGCAGACCGCGCGTGCTACGCGAATCTCTACCTCCGTCCCTCCGCCGCGGCTCGCATTGCCCCACCGCAGGAGCTCCGAGCTGGCAGCAAGCGCGGTACGCGAGCCGGAGGGTTATGCCCCTCTGCGACAGGATTTCTTCGAGTGGCTGAGCGCCGACTCTTTTTGCAAATTCTTAGCCGCCTCAGTCAGGCTTCAGACGCATCCCAGGCGTCGACGTTAAACAACTGAGCCTCAAGCGCTCGCCAGAAAGATTGCCAGGGAGTGGCAGATACCTTTTCCTTGCCGTTTGGTGGGCTGCCTCTTCGCGCCGATCCCAGGCTGCTCGTCGGGATCTGGCGCTCGCCTCGAGTCTCGCCCGGGGTGGGGGGGGGCCCGTGGGGCTTCGCTGGCCTGTCCCTCTGCAGGGAGGATACTCAAAAATAGTCAAGCAAATAGTCTGGAGATTTTTTTGGAGTGTTTTTGGTCATCTTTGAGTATTTTTCGAGTATTTTTTGTTTCTTCGTCCAAAATCCCCCTGTAGGGGGACAGGCCCGACTTAACGCTGGCCCCGGCCGCTCCAGCCCGCCGGGGCGCGGAGGTGGGCCGCCGCCGCGGGCGCGCCGCGGGTGCTGGAGGGGCTGCGGGTGCTGGAGCTGGCCAGCGTGCTGGCGGGGCCGACGGTGGTGGAGTTACTGAAAGGGATTTGATGGCGGCAGCCCGATGAATTACAACGCAAACCCCGTCGACAGCGTTGCAAGGTCCTGGCGAAATACTTGTCGTCAATCTATTACGCATCGGTTGGTCCTTGGAACCTCGGGCCGGACGGCAAGAGTCGGACAATGGCGGCCAGGCCCAGGCTCGGGGCGGGGCGCCCCGGGGCGGCACCTGGAAGGCACTCGGAGTGCTCTGGGGCGCTCCACAAGATCCCTCGATAGAGTCGCCAGATCTCAGAGATCCCTGACGTCGGGGGTGGCCAGACCTCCTACCCTGACACGTCGGTTAAGGAATTGGCCGTTTTCGGCTCGCGAGAGGGCGTCGCGGCCGTCATTTTTGCGGGTCCAGGTGCGTCGGTTTCGGCCCCAGGCCGTTTTCGCTAAAGGGAGGTTTACTAAAGGGAGGTTTGTCCACCGCCGAAAGATCCTTCGATAGAATCGCCAGATCTCAGAGATCCCGGATGCTGTCCTGGTTCAGGCCTCGTCTCACGAGATGTGCTCGGGGCAAACCCAGGCATCCGACTTTTTGGGCGCGCGTGCCCCAGAGGTCTGGACCACTTCCCCAGGGCCAGTTTTCCGTCCCGAGTCGTGCTTTGACGGTCCCGAGGCCCGGCGAGGGCCCCCGGAGGCAGAAAACAGGTCCAAACCCGCCGCTCTACGTTTTTCGGGGCGCCGGATCTCTGGGAATGGGGAGGGTGCAGGGCTCCCCCGGCACGGGGGCTGCGGGTGCTGGAGCGGGCCCCCGTGCCGGCGGGGCCGGTGGTACTGGGCGGTGGACCTGGCCCGATGGGGCACAGGGGCGGGCCTCCGCGGGTGTCGGCCGCCTGAAGGGAGGGGTAGTCTTCGAGGGTAGGGTCAGAAGCTGAAGCACATTGTCGTGGAGGACGACCAATGGAGAGGACGCATGTTGCCGAATACTTTCCAGATGTCTAAAACATGTGTGAAGCATGTTTTAAACCCGTAAAAACATGTTAAAAACAGGTTTATAATGTTTTCTCATTTTTTATGCACATTTTTAATTCAGTGATATGACTGTGAGGGTGTCCATTGTCGTGGCATCCACAAGCATATACATTACCAGTGGCGGGCGGTTTTTCAGTCCCAGGATTTTTTTAGGGTCGGGGACGACGTCGGGGTGGTGTGGTGTATACTGTTTCTCCCCGTTTTTACGGGGAAACAGCGACAAATGTATACATCAGGATCCCGTATACATCAGGATGCGGTTTCGTGTGCAAGTGTCAGTGCAGGGCTGGACAAAAACGTTGGTGTATAGAGTTCGTTTCACTAAAAAGAACCCCTTGAAACTGATAGCACGATGAAGACGTGGCCTAAACTGAGGTCCCCATGTTCGCATTAGGGATCATAAATCTGGGCGGTTCGGCCTTCTGAGGGGAGGGGGAGGCCAGCGTGCTCAGTTGTCATCGGAGGAGGAAAAGGTACCCATACCACTACCCTTGCATCGTTTTTCCCTTTTCGGGCCTCCTGGGAGGCCCTCGTCGCCACCGCCAGAATCGCTTCGAAATTCTGGTCAGAACGCACCCCATGAGAGGGCCGTGGCGTAGCGGTATCGGTACCTGTTGGTTTCCCCATGTCACCCCCGTCCCCCTCTGGGCCGCCTCGCCTGGACGGGCACAGCTTGCCGAGTCTGCCCCCTCGTCCCCCCTCCCGGCCGCTTCTTCTGGCGGCCATCTCATGCAGACCCCCCAGCTGCCTCCCCTCGCCGTGCGCGTTCCACCACTCGAAAAGTGCCTGCTCGCAAGCGGCCCCTAAAAAGAAACGTCTGCCTTGATACAGTCGATCGCGAATCCCCCTCGGCGGATTCTGGCTATGTGCGAGCAGTTGTCTTGCGGGTACAGTCGGGGCGCTGAAGAAGGAACCCTTTTCGTTTGGGAAGGGCTCAGTGTTCCTTAGTTGTTATGCAGCTCGCCTTAGGCTTTCCTTGGGTCTTCGATCGGAATTCGAAGCTTAACTTATGGAAAAAAGGGGCCTCGTTCCTTCTTTAAGGTTCCCTAGGTCAACGCCCCGACTGTAATGGTACGCCCTTGCCTATCCCAAGGTGGGCCAGTTCCTCGGCGAGCTGGGCGCCGACGTCGTGAAGGTGGAGAACCTGTCCCGGAGGGCCACGGGACGGCACCGTGGCGCACAGCGTGGGGAGCGAAGATCACCGCGCTTCGCGCCCCGCGGCCGGAGCCGCAGAGGTGCCCTGCCCGCAGGGCGGCGGCGCGGGGGCGCGACGAGGACCGCGCGTTGTGGAAGTCGGTTCGTGGAGAGGAAGCATTCTGCGAAACAGTTTCCAGATGTCTAAAACATGTTCCAAACACGTTCTAAACATGTAAAGACATGCCTGAAGCATTTTCAGAGCATGCTTCACTCTTTTGAAACGCATCTCGAATTCAATGATGGGACTGTTAGGGTGTCCATTGCCATGGCATCCGCGAACCGCGTGTCCCGCATCGTGTGGCGCGATGTGCGAGGATCCCTGAGATCCTGGCGTCCTCGGTTTTGACGGGCTGGTCGTTTTCGCCTTTCGTTCGGGTCCCGGGGCCCTCACGGATCGATCTGGCTCGAAGAGTGGCGCAGGCAGATGCGGCCTGGGGCTCCGGGCGTGGTGTCTTACGATGCTGAATCTCTTGCGCGACAGTTAGCCCGCACAGCAAGGAGGAGCAACCGCTCCAAGGCTGCCCGTGCATCCAGGCATTTTGCCCTGCGCCCTGAGACCTCGGACCTTCGAGAGCCGCGAGGGTGGCCCTTCAAGGCCCCCCTTGCATCTCCTTGCCGCGCATCCTTGCTGTACGGGTTGACTGTACGTCGGATCTCAGGGGCAGCTGACCCAACTAATTACCAGCCTGGAACACATCCCTATCCCTATGCTGGGCACCTCCTCATCACGATGCCAATCTTAGGGATTCCCTTATTTTTTGAGGGCGAATCCCTAAGATTGTCATCGCCTTTTGACGTGCCAATCTTAGGGATAGGTATGTGAGCATTCTTTTATTATTTGTTTTTGCTTTCGGCGGAACGCCCCTCCCCCCCCCCTCCCCCCCCCCCGTAGAGAAGTTCCGGGCTGATTTTGGCACCTGCTTCAATCGATCGGACGAACTACAGGGGCCGGCGCCCCCCCCCCCCTCCCCCGGTAGAAACTCGAATCGCTGATGTGTGCAACTGTGCGCATTTTATCGTGCTACTCTTCTGGAACCACAACGAAAGGGCTCAGGGGCGCCAGACCCGATCGCCAGAAAGCATGCCTCCGGCTGGGCCCTCCCCTGTTATGCCAGCGACGGCCTCGTGGAATCATGAATAGGTGATCCCTAGCAATTCTGGCACAGGCTTGCCAAATCACGCATAGCCTTGGCGCAGCCCCGCGCAGCCGCTGCGCGATTCCCCCATGGGGGGTCCCCCCTAGGATTCCCTCATCGGCATCTCCCAAAGGATTCCCCACATGATTCAATCGGAGGCATTGACTACGGGCCGAGAGCCGGACCCCCCCCCCCCCTCCCCCCCATGCGCCTAAAGCCGGAACCCAGAATAAAAAAATGCTCACTATACGTTCGAGGCTGGTCAATTTTGCCCTGCGACCTGAGACTTCGGACCTTCGAGAGCCGCGAGGATGGCCCTTCCATCTCCTTGCCGCGCATCCTTGCTATACGGGTTGACTGTATAGGGGGCCACATGCGAACCCTACCCCTACCCCCCACGATTTCTGAGGGGAGGGTGGGGTTCACTTCGCTCGAGAGCTCCCGAACGAAGTGAACCCCACCTTCCCCCTCAGAAATCGTGAGGGGTAGGGGTAGGGTTCGCACGTGGCCCCCGACTGTGCGTCGGATCTCAGGGGCAGCTGACCCCGCTGAGGCGCGCGTGCGCGCGGGTCTCGGGTCTGCGCGGGCCCTCCTCTCTGGGGACGTCGAGCACTATTCTCACCGACCCTGGCCGGGCCCCTCCTGGGCCCAAGGGCGAGGGGGGGGAGGGGGAGGGGGGGAGGAGGGAGGAGGAGGAGGAGGAGGAGGAGGAGGAGGAGGAGGAGGAGGAGGAGGAGGAGGAGGAGGAGGAGGAGGAGGAGGAGGAATAGGACAGGACCTGTGTGCAGGCCCTCCTGGCTTGGGTCAGGGAGGCCCACCGCCGAGTTTGAGTAGCAGGTCGACCCTCCAAATCCAGGGCTGTACCCACGCCCTGTGCTCCGAGGCCCGCGCCTTCCGCATTCCTGCGGCAACGTGGCCCTCGGCAGGGTCTCGTGTCCCATCGCGTGTCCTCTCCAATCCAGTCCGACTGCATGCAGCGATCCCGGGCCTCGGAGCAGCCCGGCCAGGATCGGTGAAGCGGACCGGTGACGTCCCCCGACGCTCCCCGCATCTGCCTGGCGCGCGCCGGTGGCCATGCTGGAGGTGCCGCAGGAGAGCGCGGGGAGGTAAGCCCAGGCGCCGACCCGGGAGCTCCGCGCGGACCTCTGAGCGCTTGCGCCCGTGCCGTCTCCTGGCCCTCGGCGGTCCACCCGCGGCGACGTGACCCGGTCCGGCGGGGCGCGCGGAAGGGGTGGCGCGAGGGGGGCGGCCTCTCCCGAGCGGGCGGGGGGCTTCTCAGAAGCCCTGGGCCGCCGCTCCCCGTCTGGCCAGGGCGCATCCCCGGACCCCTCCCAGGCCACCGCGGCTGGTTTCCCGAGCAGGCCACGCGAAGCCCTGGAAGCGAGCCAGGAGGCTTCCACGGCGACGGCGACGCCGACGACGACAAAGCCGCCCCAGGAGGAGGAACAGAAGGAATAATAATAGCAAGAATAATAACAATAATCATAGTATGCTTCTACAAATATTATACTAATCATACTTCCACCACTATGCTATTACTAATCGTATACTGCTACTGCTGCTACTCCTACTACTACTCCTACTACTACTACTACTACTACTACTCCTCCTACTCCTACTCCCACTCCCACTCCCACTCCCACTCCTACTCCTACTCCTACTCCTACTCCTACTCCTACTCCTACTCCTACTCCTACTCCTACTCCTACTCCTACTCTTACTACTCTTACTACTACTACTACTACTACTACTACTACTACTACTACTACTACTACTACTACTACTACTACTACTACTACTACTACTACGACTACTACTACTACTACGACGACTACACTACTACTACTACTACTACTACTACTACTACTACTACTACTACTACTACTACTACTACTACTACTACTACTACTACTACTACTACTACTACTACTACTACTACTACTACTACTACTACTACTACTACTACTACGCTGCTACTACTACTACTACTACTACTGCTGCTGCTGCTGCTGCTGCTGCTGTGCTGCTGCTACTACTACTACTACTACTACTACTATGACGACCACGACGACTACTACTACTACTAGTAGTAGTATAAGTAGTAGTAGTAGTAGTAGTAGTAGCAGTAGTAGTAGTAGTCGTAGTACTATACTACTACTACTACTACTACTACTGCTATTACTATTACTACTACTACTATTACTCCCACTACTACTACTAGTACTAGTACTAGTACTAGTACTAGTACTAGTACTAGTACTAGTACTAGTACTACTACTACTACTACTACTACTACCTTTACTACTACTACTACTACTACTACTACCGCTGATACTACTACTACTACTACTACTACTGCTACTACTACTACTACTACTTCCATTACTACTACGAATACCAATAATGCGACTCACCACACTGATAATACGAAGAGGACGAGGAATCGTAATCACACAAAGAGTAAGACTTGTAATGCTAGTAGAACGTTCACAACAGTACGATTACCACTACTCATCGTAATAGTAGTAATGATAGCAAGAAGACAACTATTATTACTTGTGCGACTAATTTACCAGGTTTTTGATACTACTATCACTTCTACTGACATTCATAACATTGTTAGTGTATAAGGCCAATCATAATGACGATTTTGCTGCTAGTAGTAATGATATGAATAGTACGCCTACTGCAACTAATCACGGTACAACTGCTATTGTGAGAGTATCAGCACTACTAAGAAACATACTAGTACATCTACGGCCGCTACGATTACTAGTAATAATGCGAATAATACTGATAGTATGATTAGTTTGAATCGCAGTAATATAGTAATGAACATACTATTAACACGACTGGCATTCACAAAGTCATCACCGTAGTAGTAATCGTGGTAATGCTGATACATCTAACATTGATGCTAGTATTACGAATCTTAATACTACCCGTACTAATGATAGTGATACTAACATTAAGAAGAAGAGGAGGAGCAGGAGGAGGGGGAGGAAGTAGAGGAGGATGGATGGGGGAGGAGGAGGAATAAGAAGAGGAGGAGTATGGAGGAGGCGGAGGTGGAGGCGCAAGAGCAGGCGCAGGATGAGGCGCAGAATGGAGGATAGAGGATGGAGGATGGAGGATGGAGGAGAAGGAGGAGGAGGTGGAGGAGGCGGAGGAGGAGGCGCAGGAGGAGGCGCAGGAGGAGGATGGCCCCCCGCGGGCGCGCCGCTGGCAGGTCCTGGAAGCTGACCCAGGAGCCGCCCGAGGCCGCCGGCGGTGTCACGGCCTACTTCTCGAGGGGCAAAGAATGGCACAATCATAAATGTGGTCTATGCGGATTTCTCGGATGGGCGCTGTGTGTTGGTTGTGGCGGCCGCGCGGGCGCGGCCGCCACAGTCAACTTAGGGCGCCAGCGAGGAGGCGCGGAGGACGGGGCGGCGGCGCGGAGCGAGGGTCGAGGATCGCGCGCGCCTCCACGCGTCAGCCCAGCGCGCGCGGGCCGCGCATCGGGCGCTCGCGCGCACGCAGACGCGCGCTGGGCAACTACAAACGGCAGGGGCATCTACAGGCGGCATCTACAGACGGCGCTTGGCCCCCCCTCAGCCAGGGGGGCCCAGCGCGGACCGTCGACAGTTGATGTTTATGCCATTGTTTGTTCCCCGAACTTCTCATGCTGCAACCTGGGGAAGCGCGGCTACGCGCAAGAGTGACCCTTCGTCAGAGTGACCTTTGGTGCTCGGGGGGAGCGTGGGGGCGAATCCCAAGCACGCGGGCCGCCACTGCCGCATCGCACGCAGCCGTCGGCAGGCCGCGCACCAAAAATCACTCTTGCCCAGGGTCACTCCCACGTGTGGCCCAGAAGCGCTCGGTAGCCGTGGACGCGCGGCGCCCGGAGGGCCTCGAGCTGCTGCGCGGCCTGGCCAAAGCGTCGGACGTGGTGCTGGCGAGCTACAAGCCGGGGGACGCGCGGAAGCTCGGGCTCGACGCCGAGAGCCTGAGGCCCACGGGAAGGGCGTTTGTGGCCAGCCTCCCCCATCCCTCCTCCTCTTCCTCCTCCTCCTCCTTCTCCTCCTCCTCCTCCTCGACCCTCCTCCTCCTCCTCCTCCACCTCCTCTCCTCCCTCCTCCTCCTCCTCCTCCTCCTCCCTCCCTCCCCCCCCTCCCCCTCCCCCCCTCCCCCCCTCTCCTCCTCCTCCTCCTCCTCCTCTTCCTCCTCCTCCTCCTCCTCCTCCTCCTCCTCCTCCTCCTCTTCCCCGTGCCAAAAGCCTTTCGATGCTGGATTGGGGGAAAAGTTCAGGGGACGCGCGGGCGCCACTAAGAGTTCCCTGAACTCGAGGAGCACCCTTGAGTAGCCCCTTACCCAGTGAAAGGTTGGGCGACAGTGGCGTAGGATCCTTTGGCCTCACTTTGAAGCCAAGCACGGCCTCCCCAGGGAGGTATTGACAGAATCTGGCGACAATGCCAGCGGCGCTTCTTTACTTTCGACACGTCGGAGGTTCCGCGCTCCGGGGCACAGCCCGGCGGCAATGCCGGTGGTCCTGCACAACTTCCCCAACCACGAGGCAAGCGCCTGTTAGACACAGTCTGGCGGCAATGCCAGCGGCTCTGTTTTCTCTCGACACGTCGAAGGTTCTGGCCTCTGGGACACAGCCCAGCGACAATGCCAGTGGTCCTGCACAACTACCCCGCCCACGAGGCAAGCGCCTCTTGGACACAGTCTGGCGGCAATGCCAGCGGCTCTGATTAAACTCTGGTCAGGTCGGAGGCTCAGCCCTCTGGGACACAGCCCGGCGGCAATGCCGGCGTTCCCGAACAACTGCCCCACCCACGAGGCAAGCGCCTCTTGGACACAGTCTCAGCGGTCTTTTTTTACTTTAAACACGGCGGTGGTTCTGGCCCTGCGACACAGCCTGGCGGCAATGCCGGAGATCTTGCACAACTACCCCACCGGCGGCAAGGGTCGGCGGCAATGCCAGCGGTCCTGCACAAATGCCCACACCCACGAGGCAAGCGCCTCCTGGCACAGCCAGGCGGCAATGCCAGCGACTCTTGCTTACTTTCGACACGTCGGAGGTTCCGCCCTCCAGCGCACAGCCGGGCAACGATGCCGGCGGTCCTGCATACCTACCCCGCCCACGGGGTATGCGCTTCCCAAACACAGGTTGGTGAAAACGCCCGCTCTTGCCAGCGTCGGAGGTTCAGCCCGCTGGGACACAGCTCGAGAAGGCCTCCCCTCCCTCCACCCCCTTCTGCGCGCCGCCAGTGTGGTTTGCGATCTGCGTCGTTTTCGGTAGCAAATCTTGGGGGCCTTGCGTTCCCGCCCAATTTCGTCTTTCAGCGTCGGCTGGCGTCGATTCGCGTCTGGCAATCGATGAGATAGCGCCGGTTTAGCGTCGATTAGCGTCGATACGCGTCGACTCGCGTCAATGAGCGTCGATTTGGCGTCGACTGGCATCGATTCGCGCCGAGCAGCGTCGACTCGCAAGAGCCAACAAGACGGTATGGGAGGCTCCCGTGGGTTGCCGCCGAAGTCGTCGGGGAATGGGGGGGGCACCACGCTGCCCTCGTCGGGCCTCCTCGGGGCGCGGCGGAGAACTCTGCCGAGGTCCCCGCCCGACCCCCGGGGTGCGCGTTGCAGACCTTGCCTCTTGCAGACCACACCCCTCGGAGCTGCCCGGCCTCGCCCCGGGACGCGGCCAGGCGGCCGGGGGCCGAGCCTCGGGCGAGGGCGTTCGTCAAGGCTGGGGCCAGCCGTCGGGCTGCGCCCGACGACCGCGCGCCCCTGCGACCGCCAAGGGCTGGGCACTGTCGGAGGCCCTGGCGTCGGCCGGTGCCGAGCGGTCTGGCCGTGGTCGTCGGAGGTGGCGTCGGCCGGTGCCGAGCGGTTGGTCTGCGCGCAGGAGGAACCTTTCGCCCGGGGTGACCTGTGGTGCGGGCCCACGGGGGCCCCCCCAGCACTGGCCTGCGCGCTCGGCCTTGGCGTCCCCGCGGCCCCCGGATGCCGCGCACCGGGGGTCCCTCTCGCCTTGGGTCACTCTCGCGTCCAGGTGTTGCGGAGCCAGCGCCGACGTCATCGCGGCGCGAGCCCCAGGTCCCCCGCGGGGACGCGAAGACGATCGCTTCCCGCGTCGCGGCCTGGGCCAGGGCGAGTGCCCTTCTGCAAGGGGGCGGCGCGAGGTCATGAGGGCGCGAAGACTGTTGCGCGCGGGGGCATCGCGGGGCGCTGTGCGCGAAGCCAGGCGACCTAGGAAAACCGAGATCGTCGGAGGCCGAGCGGTTCAATGCGGCGTCGCGGAGCCAGCGCCGGCGTCATCGCGGCGTGGGCCCGCCACACACACCACCCTAGTCTTGAGTCGGGCCTGTCCCTCTACAGGGGGGAATATTAAAAATGGGTATTTTTGCGCATCTTTTGGGTACTTTCTGGGTATTCTTATTCTCGTGCAAAATCCCCCTGTAGGGGGACAGGCCCGACCTAACCCTAGTCTCGGGGAAACGTAAGATTCGGGTACGCATGCTGGCGCTCGCACGCATGCTGGTGCTCGCACTGGCGATCACAGCGGGCCCCCGCCCCGACGTGCCCCATCCCCCCTCTGGGTAATGACCGCAACGCGGAAAAGTGCTTGCTGGCGTGGACCCCAAACAATGATTTCTTGCAATCAATGCGGTGCAATCTAGGTGGTGCAATCAATGTGAATCAATCTAGGCGGTGCAATCCACTCTGCTGAACTTGAAGTCGTCATCTCCACTGCTCGCGCAAACATCCCACCCGCCCACCCGCAACTTGGTTTGCAAAACCTGTTAAGACCGACTACGACGACACCGACGACAACGACTAGGTCGACACCGACGACGTCTCCGACGACTTCGACGACGACAACGACGCCGACGACGACGAAGACGACGACGACGCCAACGAAGGCGACGACGAGGGAGGAGGAAGGACGACGACGGCGACAACGACGACAGCGACGACAACGACGAGGGAGGAGGGAGGACGGCGACGACGCGAACGACGACGAAGGAGGAAGGACGGCGACGCCGACGACGACAACGACGAGGGAGGAGGGAAGATGACGACGACAACGACGACGACGACGGCGACGAAATAGGAGGGACGACGACGAGACGCCGACGACGGACGACGACGACGACGTGGGAGGAGGAGGAAGGACGACCACGGCGACAACGACGACGGAAACGACCACGACGCCAAAGAGGACGACGACGACGAACACGAGAAAAGACAGAGGACGACGTAGGCGACGACGACGACGACGACGACGGGGAGGGAGGACGGCGACGACGACGACGACGACGACGAAGAGCGCGCGCGCACGCTTTTGTTGAAAATCCGTGTTGCGAAACCTTGGGTTTTTGTAGGTTTTTTGGACGCTCGATTTTGAAATCCTTCCGAAACCGATGGGTTTTGAAGGTTTTCGGCGTACGCCCGCGACGACGCGCGCGTCTGCACTTCGTCCCATTTTTTGCAGAAGGATTTTCGCGACGGCACACGCGCAAGGGCGTTCGACAGATTTCGACATGCGCGCGCGCGAAGCCCGTTTGGTAGCATGTTATGAAAATCTTGAGAAACCTATGGTTTTCTTAAGATTTCGCAAGAGCTCGCGCGGAAGCTTCTTTAGCAAATCAGTGTTGCGAAACCATGTGTTTTTGTATGTTTTTTGGAAACTCGATTGCGAAATCCTTCCGGCACCCAGAGTTTTTGAAGGATTTCGGCATGCGCGCGCGACGACGCGTGCGTGTGCTCTTCGTCCCGTCTTTTGAAAGGTATTCGTGAACAAGTGTTATGTTAGAACAAAGCATGTCACCGCATAGTTTATATACATATATATATATATATATATATATATTAAAACAAGGGAACCTCAGGGGAGGGGACCCGGTTTGGCTGTGATGATATGATTTCATATTTAGGATGGACGAGTGTGCAGAATATAGATAAAATCGTATTATCCCAGGGGGTACCCATAAGTCCAGGGGGGGGTAGAGTCTATTCTCTTTTTCCACTGTGCTGAACTTGAAGTCGTCATCTCCACTGCTCGCGCAAACATCCCACCCACCCACCCGCAACTTGGTTTGCAAAACCTGTTAAGACCGACTACGACGACACCGACGACAACGATTAGGACGACACCGACGACGACTCCGACGACTTCGACGACGACAACGACGCCGACGCCGACGACGACGAAGACGACGACGACGCCGACGCCAACGAAGGCGACGACGAGGGAGGGGGAAGGACGACGACGGCGACAACGACGACAACGACGACAACGACAGGGGAGGAGGGAGGACGGCGACGACGCGAACGACGACGAAGGAGGAAGGACGGCGACGCCGACGACGACAACGACGAGGGAGGAGGGAAGATGACGACGACAACGACGACGACGACGGCGACGAAATAGGAGGGACGACGACGAGACGCCGACGACGGACGACGACGACGACGTGGGAGGAGGAGGAAGGACGACCACGGCGACAACGACGACGGAAACGACCACGACGCCAAAGAGGACGACGACGAACACGAGAAAAGACAGAGGACGACGTAGGCGACGACGGCGACGACGACGCGGGAGGAGGGAGGACGGCGACGACGAAGACGACGACGACGCAAGAGCGCGCGCGCACGCTTTTGTTGAAAATCCGTGTTGCGAAACCTTGGGCTTTTGTAGGTTTTTTGGACGCTCGATTTTGAAATCCTTCCGAAACCGATGGGTTTTGAAGGTTTTCGGCATACGCCCCCGACGACGTGCGCGTCTGCTTTTCGTCCTGTTTTTTGCAGAGGATTCTCGCGACGGCACACGCGCAAGGGCGTTCGACAGATTCCGACATGCGCGCGCGCGAAGCCCGTTTGGTAGCATGTTGTGAAAATCTTGAAAACTTAAGAAAATAAAAAGAATTCGTCGTTCTCTTTTTAAAAGGAGAACCCACGTGGTGCAATCACTGTGGTGCAACGCAAAGCAAAGCAACGCAATCCAATCCAATGCAACACAAAGCAA